ATGAAAGAGGCATTCTAATAAAGGCTGGGGATGAAATCAGGCTTATATGAAATAGTGATTAATAGTTCTTATGGGTTAATCAAATACCTAGTTTTATGTATGTTTCCTTTACAAACTGCTCTTTGGGGGACTGTCTGCTGTGTTCTTTAATATCTGTGCTTAGTTGTCTTATTAAAGACTCCTGTTTCTGTCCAAGAGGAAACTGAGTTGGAAAAGTAGCCACACCCATGAGAAGACTGGTGGGTCCAGCCAAAAGGTAAAAGCTGAGCTATCTCTGACCCCTTAGTGGCAGCCCAAGAGCAAACCATTCACCTTAACCTGTAAAGCAAAACTGTACTTCTCTCTAAAGACAGTGAATTGACAGCTATGAAAAGTTAGTGAAGGGTAAAAAGCAGAAATACATACTAAACAACTTACTACAGCAGTAGCCTAAAATACTTTTTTGAACAAGAAGTTGGATATATACAACCCATCTAGCCAAAGCTCAGGCTAGCTGCCTATCAAACCAGATTAGCTATAAAAATTCCACTGGCTGGAACCATAAATCATAAAAACTTACTAAACTGGCACAAAGTTTCAAAGGTATAAATATGTTAGAGAACAACACTAGAAAGTAGTGGTACTAAGTAGTAAGAAGTAAAAAAAATAATTTGAGCTGTTTCTATCTTATACATGAAGGTTCTTTGCCATCTGACCAAAAAAGCATTACCGGATATGACTAAGAAAAGGGGTGGGGGTGGGGGAGCAGACAAATCTGATACACTAGTTCACAATGAGAATTCCAGGCTTCTCTAGTTGCCTGGAGCACAGTAATATGATTTTCCAGCACATTAGGGAAGCAAAAGTAGAACCAGAAAGCCTATGTACTGGCTAGATTTTGTTAATGTCACTTAAAATGGAGGAAAAAATCCTAGCAAGATACCAAATAGAGTGCAGCAGATGGTAAACAAATATTATGAAGCAATCTTCACAAAATCTGCAGTGTGTCACAAATATACAAAATGGCAGAGTTTGGGAAAAGAGAATCATAACAGGCCATATGTTGTTAGCGATTTTATTTGAAGCAACATGCAATCCAAAAGAAAAACCAAGAAGAGAAACATAAAGGCCCAATAGAGAGGAGAGGCAGCCTCAGGTAAGGGGCGGTCAGAATGGCCTACTGAGTAAACAGCAGACAAGCAGCAGACTCCAGGGAGCTCTCAGCCAAACAGCACCCACTGCGGTGACAGGGGCTCAAGAAGGCTTTCAAGAGAAACAATCCAGCGTCTACAAAGAGCTACAGAAAGTTAAGGCAATATATTATGTGTCATTTGTCACACTCCTTCTGTGCCAGGTGGCAATTAAAACTACTGCAAAGGTACTTTTCCCAGGTAAGAGAAAAGAAATGAAAACATAATTGTAGAGGTTAGAAAGACATCAACAGGAAACTACCAGAAAACATGTTTAAAGCCCTTCTCAGGTGTGGAGTTTAATGATGGGGGCAGGACTAGAGGCCATCCTTTCCATGGCCACATCTTCATATCCATGAGTTCTAATTTAGTTTCCTGCTTCCCTCTTCCTGATTCCTTCCTTACTTCTTTGCTTTCTTCCTCCTTCCAGCAAATAAAAGTACTGTTCTGGGCAGTGGGATAGTAACAGTGAAAAAAGAAAAAAACAAACAAACTCCTGACCTCATAGAACTTACACTCTAGTGGAAAGAGACTGAAGGAGGTGAGAGAGTGGGCTGTGCTGGTATCTGGAGAAAGACTGTTCCAGGCAGAGGGAGCAGCTAATACAAAGGCCCTGGGTCAGAGGAACGCCTGGCGTGTTTGACAGACAGAGAGGTAGCCAGAGTGGCTAGAACAGAATGAGAGGCGGAGAGAGAAATACACGGGTTCAGAGAAGCAATGGTGGGACAGGTTGAGGG